GAGGCTTTCGTAAGAGAATAGCAGTGAGACGGTTGAGTTTGTTACAGAGTTAGTTAGTTATTACGTAATGTCAGAATGTGAAGGGATGTTTGGAATAAGGTGGGGATAGGGGGCATAGTCGTTACAGGAAGGTGTGACGGTGAAGCTCAGACTTTAGAGTCTTAAGGGATATGAGGGATATTTTAGGAAAGATCCACCAGACCGTGATAAGTGAAGTTTTGGTAATTACGTTATGGTGTAGGATTGACGATACGAGTGGATTGTAAGTAGTTTAAAGGGAGGGGGGAGTTGCCAAGGTGGTTGCTGCTGCAAGTACTGTGTAACGGGAGTCGAAAAACGTTAATGGTTAACGTGGCTGCTGCTGCTGCTGCTGCTGTGGTGGTGGCGGTGGTGGCAGCGACGGTTTGGAGGGGCTTGCTGCTGCTAGTCTACTACTTTCTGCTCCTACTCCTACTCCTGCTCCTGCTCCTCCGCCTCGATCTTTATCCAGCATCATCTCCTGCTCCTGCTCCTGCTCCTGCTCCTGCTCCTCCTACAGCAGAGGTGCGGCTGCTCTCCACCTCTCAGCCTGAAGTTCCTCCTCCTCCTCCTCCTCCTCCTCCTGCTCCTGCTCCTCCTCTTCCTCCTCTTCCCCCTCCCGCCAGCACTCTATAATAATAATAATAATAGCACGTGCCGCCTCATGTACGTTTTGCTTTTCCTGCTTCTTCCTGCAGCATGCAGGAAAAAAACGTTATATTATAGTGTACATTAAAAAGCACATTTTGTTGTTTCAATTCAACAATGATTGTTATTATAATAAAACAAAAGTTGAAGAAAGCTTAAATCGTCTCATATTGCTGCTGCACAAGTCGGTTAACATAGCATCAGTGACGGACCCAAATCGTAACCGTAGTGGTTGCTTCAGCCGTAACTTGAACCCACGATCATCAATTGCGCATTCGTACTGCAAATTTACTATTTGTCTTAGCACACTAGGCTCGCTCACCACTTTCCGGTGGGAGTAGCCGATGACTTGACCGGGGAGCGTTAGTCTACTAGACGCGGGCTGTGTCGCCCGCGAGGGGGCCGTAGTCCCCCGGTGAATTCCGCGTTGCACGGTGCTGTCGTAAGCGTGTACAGCATAGCAAAGCATAGCGCGTACGGCATAGCACAGCATAGCATAGTTCGTACGGCACAGCATAGCACGTACAGCAGAATACGGCAAAGCACAGCATAGCAAAGTTCGTACGGCATAGCGTACGGCATAGCGAACGGCATAGCGTAGCACGTACGGCATAGCGCGTACGGCGTACGGTGTATGGCGCGTACGGCATAGCGCGTACGGCGTACGGTGTATGGCGCGCACGGCATAGCGCGTACGGTGTACGGCGTACGGCATGTACGGCGTATGGCGCGTACGACACAGCGTGTACGGCGCCTGCGGCGCGTATGGCTTAGCGTGTACGGTATAGCATAGCGCGTACGGCATAGCATAGCGCGTACGGCATAGCAGAGCGTGTACGGCACACCATAGCATAGCGTGTACGGCATAGCATAGCGCCTACAGCATAGCATAGCATAAAAAAGCGTAGTGCAGCATAGCATAGTGTAGCGTAGGGAAGTAGTTTTTGCGTATGGGTGAGATGTAAAAATCTAGAGGTGGAGTTTTGGCTGAGGTGAGGAGTGTTAAGGAAAAATAAGTGCCGGGAGGGGTTTGGTCTAAGCTGAGAGTTTTATAGGTGTAGTGCGAGGAAGGTAGTGAAAAAAGGAAGTCTAGTTGTAGCGGGAAGAGAACTAGATGGGCTGCTAAGCGAGTGCAAGCTGACCTAAAGAAAGCCGCTGAAGCTATATTTAGCAAGGCACGTCACGACGCGTTTCGGCCTTGCCAGGGCCTCATCAGGTGACTCTTGCGCTAAGTTTAGGTGCTTTGCTATGCTAAGAGCCCCCTGAGATGTAGAAAACGTAAACTGACCGTAGTGGGCGAACTGTACCAGTGGTGAAGAAGTTTGGTGGTGGTAGTTGGTGTTCGCAGAGCGGTTTTAGTCCAATCGATGGTGGTTGTCAAGTGGTGAGCGAGGACGAGCCTGAATGAAAAACGTANATGATAGTGAGTTGTAAAGTCAATTGCAGTGGGGTAGGAGC